TGTGGAACCAGTGAATTTATTGGGCTCACTTACAGAACATGGGTGAAGTGCTAGTTATAAAAGGGTGGGACCCAGAGATAGAGGCCAGCCTGGTCTCTAGAGCGAGTTCTAGGACAGCCAGGGCTACACAAAGAAACCCTGTCTCAACCGCACGTCCCAAAAAGTGTGGGACCCCAAAGCAACTATAGCAGATTTTTTTTTTTTTTAAATCCTGGCTGTCTTGGAACTTGCTATGTAGACCAGGCTTGCCCCTAACTTCTGGAATTAAAAGTCTGAGACACCACACCTGACTTTGCACCAGAAAGTCTTTACTCATCATGGGTGTTTTCCTAATTGCTGCAGAATGGAGGTCTATCTGCTTTAACACCTCCATAGGTCATATGCAGTTAGAGCATTATTACACTCAGATGGCTGGAAGGTGCAGCAGGGAACACTTGGACTCTCAGGTAAGGGTTCAGTGACCCTTCTCACACACCCTCCTTCCAGCTGATCTGATAAACCTGACAGCTGTCTTGCTCAGAGGACAGTACCCCATACCTGCTGTCCGTTATGGCACTGCACCACCTGCCTCCAGAGACCTTGTCTCTCTGTTACAGCAACTGCATCCTGCGCCTGGTGGAACCTCCGTTTTTCCTCATAGGAACAGTAATCCCTGTCTTCCCTACCTCACCTTTACCTCAGCTTTTCTAAAAGGGTTGTTTGGTTGTCAACTTGAGGGGATTTAGAATCTAGGAGACAAACTCCACGACACGTCCATGAGGGCATTTCCTGAGAGGTTTAGCTGAGGGGACAGGACCCACCCTGAACGTGTGTGGCACCATCCTATGGGGGTGGCGATCCAGACTGAATAAAAATGAGGACACAAGCCGAGCCCTAGCATTCATTTCGGCCATCTCACACTCCCCCTGCTATGCCTTTGCTGCCATGATGTGTTCTGCCCTCAAATTGTGAGCTACTTGTTAGTATTTGGTCATAGCACGCGCGCACGCGCGCGCGCGCACACACACACACACACACACACACACACACTAGTAATACAGGATGCAATGCAAATGCTCATTGTGAAGATGTCTGTCTCCTTCAGGCCTTTGTTTCACAAAAGTGCCTGTCAAGGATAGGAAGAGCCCATGAACAGTCACTCTCCAGACTCCTGAACTAGCTTCTTTCTCCTCCTCTGCCTCCTCCATCCTGGTTGAAGACAAGGCTTTGGCCCAAACCCCTGGACTTGAATAAAATAGACAGATTCCTAGGAAGACACAAAGCATGGAACTTGACTGAAGAAACGTGATTTGAGCAGACCTCCAGCAAGGAGGAAAGTCTGTCATGAAGTCATCTGTTGGCCAGCTGGCTCGCTACACAAGCCTGAAGTTTGGTCCCTGGAGTCCACTGTGGAAGAAGAGAGTTGACCCTGAAAGCCATCCTCTGACTGGCACAGTGCACCATGGCACATGGACTTGTGTGACCCTCCTCACTACAAGCCACCCAGTAAGACCAAACCAGTCTGTGAGATACTGAGAACATTCATACCAGCTCCTCCCGAAACTGTTAAGAGGACAACAGTTTCCTCTTAACCTAGATGTCCCTCAATCAAAGAATGGGTAAGAAAAATGTAGTACATTTACACAATGGAGTACTACACAGCAGAAAAAAATAATGACAGCTTGAATTTTGCAGGAAAATGGATGGAGCTAGAAAATATCATTTTGACTGAGGTAACCCAGACCCAGAAAGACAATTAACACCTGTACTCACTCATAAGTGGTTTTTAAACATAAAGAAAGCCAGCCTACTAACCACAATCCCAGAGAACTTAGACAACAATGCGGACACTAAGAGAAACTTACATAGATCTAATCTACATGGGAAGTAGAAAGTATAAAAAGACAAGATCTGAGTAAATTGGGAGTATGGGGACCTTGGGGGAGAATTGAAAGGGGGAGGGGAGAGGCAGGGAGGGGAGCAGAGAAAAACGTAGAGCTCAATAAATATCAATAAAATATAATAAAAAAAATCCAAAGCAAGTTGAGTTGGGAGGAGAGTTCCCATCACATCTTTGGTCATCCTGGGAATGTCTTTTTCAAGGTGCATTATTTATTTACTTAATTTATTTTCATACCTGTATAAAAAAAAGGGGGGGGCGGGCATAGTGGGTGGCTCATGTCCATAATCTTAACACACTGGGAGGCTGAGTAGGAGCTTGGCATAGAATGAGTTTCAGACTAGCATGGCCAATAAGGCTTTGCCTCAAATAATTAAACCAAACCAAACCAAGATCACAAAAGGAACACTCCCAATTTACTTACTTTGACCAGTAGCAATCTGCTACTAAAACCACCCACAGACACCACAAGCAAAGTGAAGACTAGAATCTGCCATGAAAACTCAACAGATAGCAGTAAATGAAGGTAGGTACATATAAAAAGGATTATGCTCATGCCAAGTGGAATCTCTTCCAGAATACAGGGATAGATCAGTATCTGAAAACCAGTCAATATACACCACAGACAGAATTGCACATGACCAGCAGGTGCAAAACAAAGCCCTTGACAGAAAACACGGTTTCCAAACTGAATGTCTTCAATTCCAGCACGGGGAGGGCAGGGAGAGCAAAGACAGGTGGATCTCTGAGTTCGAGGCTAGCCTGGTATACAGAGCTAGTTCCAGGACAGTTAGGCCTACCTTGTTTCTAAAAACAAACAAACTAAAAGCAAAAAACCCCAGTTTCATGAGGAAGAACATTGTGCCAACTTGGAATAGATGGATTTCTTGAGCTTGATAAGGAACACCTACCAAATCCCCACACTCATAGTCACTGCAAAACGCTTTCTTCAGGTCAGAGTAAGACAAGGAGCCTGGTTTTCATGCCAGTCCACAGGGCTCTAGGCAAGATAGTCAGAAAGGCAAGAATGAAAAGGCTCCCAGATGGGGAAGGAGGAGGTAAGGCAGACAGACTCCTCTACCCACAGAGGACATGTCTGTATCAAGGACATCTCGAGAACCCACCAAGAAACCATCTAAACTAGCAAATGGGTTCTTCGGAGCTGCAAAATACAGGGCCAACACACCAAATCTCTATCCCTGACCCCTTTTTCACCTCTCCCATTTGCCAGCTTTGTCCTGCTACCTGCCTGGTACCACCCCACATCCCAGTCAGGCCAAGTTCTGCTGTTCCAACCTTTGGCCTGGGGCTCTGTGTTTAGTGGCCTTGCTGTTTCTTACACACTGGGGTTTAGATCAGCCTACTACAGCAACCCAGTCTACTGTCAAGGTCCGGCCTCGACAATCTTCTGCTTCCCAGACAGACTCACATCAAGCTCACGTCTTGCCTCTTTCTACCCTTATGTCCCCCTCTTGTCTCTCCCTGGCAACCTAGCCCTAACAAATTTTTATTTTATTTTTGAGACAGGTCCTACTATGTTATTTTGGTTGACCTGGGATTCGATTAGAAATGGGTGTCTTTGAAGCCACAGAGATCCAATTACCTCTGCCTCCCAAGTGCTGGGATTCAAGGTGTGTGCCACACCAGACGTCTATGCACTTTTCGTTTTTGAGACTGGGTTTCACCTCTAGGAGCTGAAGCCGGCCTTGAATTTCATTCAGATCCTGCCTCTACCTCCCCAGTGCTGGGGTTACAAGCATGGGATACCATGTCCAACCTCACCCACCTCTTATTTATTTATTTATTTATTTATTATTACTTTATAAATAATACCAATCCAAATTTCCACTTCCTCCCCTCCTCCCACTTCCCTATCACTCTCCCACCTCCCCTCCCAGCCTCCAGTCCTAAGAGAGGGCAGGATACCCCGCCCTGGGGGAAGTCCGAGGCTTCCCCCCCCTCCATTCAGGCTTAGGAAGATATGCATCCAAAGAGAATAGGATTCCCAAAAGCCAGTACGTGCAGTAGAGACAAATCCCAGTGCCACCTCATCCACCTCTTGATCTGATTGCATGCACTCTCTCCTCGAACATCCACTCTACCTACTTACTGTCTTTTTGTGGGTAAGGGATGATCTGACTATGACAGAGGTTGAGCACCCTGAACCTTACAGGGCCACTACGGCCACCCACACCCCGCACACCCGGGGTGCTGGGTTCCTGCTGCTTCCCCGGGGCTGGTGCATACACCATCGCCTCTCCAGTGATGTCTTCCGCATTGCGCATCCAGGTTTCACAAAAATACTCTTGTTCCTTTCAAGCACTAACGCAGGCCACACGCGGCGCTGGTCTTAAGCATCCATTCCCCTAGGCGCCGAACCTGAGCAAGAGAACGTGCCAGTGTCCGTCTGGGGTAGTGGGGCTCGAGGTTGCTCCGGACTCGAGCGCTGATCTCAGGTGCTGTTTCCAAGCCGCGTGCACTCAGCCTGCCCCGGCGGCGACGTCTCGCGATCTCCGTCGGCAGGCCCAGCGCCCGTGCAAACCCTAAGGGTGCTCGGTTCACAGGGAGCCGGCTTTAACAGAGGAAGAGACGAACCGCCTCTGAGCGCAGGAGTGAAGCTCCTTCCACCCGCGGCGCCCGATGGTAATCTCCCAAATCGCTGAAAAAGAGGCGGGTCCCCAGCAGAGTATACTGCGCCTGCGCAGATCCGGGCTGGGGCGGGGCAGGGGCGTGTCTACTGTGGTAGAAGAAGGGGGCGAGGCTGGGTGGACCGGCGTGGTTACTGCGCTTGAGGAGGAGGTAGGGGCGGGGCCGAGGGCGTGTCCACGGCTACTGAGGACCCGGACTGGGCTGGGTTAGAGGGGCGTGCCTGCTGCTCTGGCAGGGGACGCGGGCTGGGGGCGGGCCGAGGGTGTGTCTAGAGCGCCTGAAGAAGGGCACAGGTACTGAGCTTGCGGAAGGAGGGCGGGGCGAACGGGGGTATGGGGGCGGTGCCTACTGCGCCTGCGGAGAAAGGTGGGGCTGCGGGAGGCGCCAAGTGCGCCTGCGTGACGCGGCGGCGGCGCGTTAGCTTCTACCCGTTGGCCGCCGCCTCAGCTGCCGCTCCTCCGGGGCCGCGCACGCGCCGCCACCGCCGCCGCCCCCGGCCCGTGCCCGCACCGCGCCTGCCCCGCGCCTGCCTTGGCCGGCGCTTGCCCGCCGCCGCCTTCCCGGCCGGCTCGGCGCCTTCTCGGCCTCGGCTCGGCGCCCGCAACATGCAGCAGCAGCAGCCTGGGTGGCGGCGGCGGCTGTGAAGCAAGGGCCGTGTGCCCGGGCGGGCGGCGCGGGAGGGCGGCGGCGTCTTTGTTGCGGCCGGGCCGCCGCGGCCTTTGTCTGCAGATGGACGCGGGCGGCCGCCCCGCCGCCGAAGGCTGGAGGAGGATGGAGGCACCGCCGGAGGGCGCCGACCTGGTGCCGCTGGACCGCTACGACGCGGCGCGGGCCAAGATCGCAGCCAACCTGCAGTGGATCTGTGCGAAGGCCTATGGCCTAGGTGGGCGGGCGCGGCGGGGTCCGGGGCAGGGGGGATGGGATTACTGGGGGACGAACGGGGAACGAATCGGACTCCGGGTTGGTACTAGAGGGGAGCCGACGGGACATGGACTGCTGTCGGGCGCGACCGAGAGATGTCGGACGGGTGCGGGAGCCGGGGGATGGGACCAGAGGGAGACGAACCGGGGTCGGACGGGATATGGGACCAGAGGAGGACGCAATAGCCATAGGATGGGACCAGAGGGAGACAGACAGGGAATAGATTGGACTAGGTATGATACAGAGGGGACAGAAAGGGGACTGACATGCAGGGGGATGAGACCAGAGAGGATCGGACGCTGGACGAACCGGGCAATAGGACCAGAGGGGATCCGATGAGTCGGAGGGATGGGGGACACGGAGAAAGGTCTGGGGACGAGGAGTGGAGACAGCCAAGGTTGGGAATGAGGCCGGTGACAGGGCCAGGGCGCGCCTTCGCGTGGTGTCGGTTCAAGACTTGCTGTCCTGGCGGGTGGCCCAGGTGAGCGAGCGCTGAGGTCGGCCGGAGTAGGTCCTGGCACGGGACTACGCTCGTGTATCATCCATACTCTTGAGTCTGGGGGGGGGGGGGTAGAGGGTGCCTGTCTGGTGCAGTGTTGTTCTCTGGCTACTGGACTGGCCGTCTGAGTCCAAAAGGGACTTTCTTATGTGAGTAACGTCCGTTTAGCCATCTCCTACTGCAACAGTGGCCAGAAGGCTTAGTTTGAATAGTTGGAGGCTTAGTCCAAGGGGACAAACCCAGAGTCCCAGCCATTCTGGTTTATATATTATGAATTTTGATACTTTCCAGAACATGAGCTATTGGATACTCCAAAGATAAATTTTGTGTTACACAAATTGTGCAGAAACAACCCCTTTGGCTAATTCCTGTTGTGAAGAACAAGGTAACCTTGTGATGAAACCTCATTTATGAGGCGTAATATGCTTAGTGGATTAAGACGTTCTGGCTTGGTGCTCTGGGAACTTTGTAGGCCAAATAATGCTGGTGATGAGTTGACTGGGAGGCTCTAGTATCAGTGACAAGTACCTTGTTTCAGGCACAAAACTAAGTATTAAATACTTGTGAATCCCCTTAAAATGAAGCATGAGTCACCCTTGTTCTGGCAGAACCATTACAGACTGGGTTGCTGGAATAACCCTTTCAGGAGAGGGTTAGGTGACCAGTTTAAAAAACTTGCTAAGCAGGTGTTCTCTGTGACAGTGGACTGTGTCACATCAGGGCCTCCTAGTCCTAGTCATAAGGACAAGCATGTTTTGGGAGTAAATAAACTGCTTCCTTTATTTTATTTTAACCTTAATGCTATGGTGTAAAGCTAGCAGTGAGGAAGTAGTTCTGTCTTTTACAATTTTTAGTTTTATAATTCTTGGTCACCGTTTTTGTTGAGTTTCAGGTTTTGCATGGTGGTGGAGAAACACTGCTGTGTAATTGGCTTTATCTGACTTTAAAAAGTACAGTTGAAGAAGCCAGGTGGTGGTGGCGGCTCATGCCTTTAATTACAGCACTTGGGAGGCAACATAGAGAAACCCTGTCTTGAAACCCGCTCCCCCCTAAAAAAAACCCCAGAACACCGAATAACCGCTGAAATGGATAAAAAGGTGTCTGATACCTGACTAGAGCAAATAGTGAGTGCCTAGCCAGTGGTCACATCCATCATTGCTGGCACCACACACCCTTGTTACCTTAGCACCTCCTCCACTGCTGTAACTCTTTGCTGTTGTTCTAAGCTATATTATTCAGTATATTTGTTTATTTTTGGGGACAGGGTTTCTTTTTCAATAATTTATCTTCACTGTATGTGTATTGGTATGAAGGTATCATATCCCCTGGAACTGGAGTTACAGACAGGTATAAACTGCCGTGTGGGTGCTGGGAATTGATCCCATGTCCTCTGGAATAACAGTCAGTGCTCTTAAACACTGAGCCCTCTCTCCAGCCCCGAGACAGGGTTTCTTTGTGTAGTCCTGACTGCTCTGGAACTCACTCTGTAGATCAGTTTGACCTCACTTACAGGGATCTTCTTGCCTCTGCCTCATTAGTGCTGGGATCAAAGGCGTGGGGCACCACAGCCTGGCATTGTTCAGTTTTGCATGATCTTTCTTTCTTTCTTTCTTTCTTTCTTTCTTTCTTTCTTTCTTTCTTTCTTTCTTTCTTTCTTTCCTTCTTCTTCTTCTTCTTCTTCTTCTTCTTCTTCTTCTTCTTCTTCTTCTTCTTTCTTTTTTCTTTTTTGAGGCAGTGTCTGGCTTGGATTCCTGTTTAGACCATTCTGGCCTTGAACTCAGAGATCCATCTACCTCTTTGTCTCCTGAGTTGCTGGCATTAAAGATGCATGCAGACATACTGGCCTAGTTTTGTGTATTGTTGAACCTTTTTAAGTGCTGTCTTTAGAGGCTTTCTTTTCTTCTATAGATTATGTTCATAAGTTCATCTTAGCTCCCAGCATTCTTTTGCCCGGCTGTTTAGTATTTGACCAAGGCTAGCCTACCACATGCCATTGTCCTACTGAGAGGTGCTGGTTCATTTCCAGCTTTTTGCTCTTAAACATGGTGCATCCTAGTGCACAGCTCCTAGTCTTATGTACAGATTTCACTCTTGTGTATATGTATTCTTTTAACCTTTGTGCTGGGCATGGGACTCAAGGCTTTGCTAGGCAAGTACTCTTGCTGAACTGCCATCTGTGTTTTTAAGGTTGGCCATGTGGAAATAGTTTACTTAGACTCTATTTACTTTGTAGTTTCTCTAGGAGGGTGTGTTTAGCAATAACATTCAACTTGGTATCTAGAGATAAATTTTCCTCTCTCTCTTGTTGGCACCTGGTTTAGTTTTATTCTAGTACCAGATTACTCATGAGGTCTTGTTGCCTCATCAAATAATGGAGCAAATGGGCTTTAAGGTTTTAGATTCTTTTTTTTTTTTTTTTTTTTTTGAGACAGGGTTTCTCTCTGGAACTGGATTTGTAGTCCAGGCTGGCCTGAACTCACAGCTATCCTCTTAACCTCTGTGTGTGCCACCACGCCCAGTGGTTTTAGAATTACTTAGAGTGCTTATTTGAGGACTGGGAGGAAGAGCAGGACTGAGGACTAGCAAGGGACCCAAGCCTAGGTGTCCCTATGACCTGAGTCAGGGCCTCTGCTAGCAGAATGCACATCATATGTGGGTTAGAGGTCTGGTCCCTTCCGTTCATTGTTGTAAATGAGAAGGTTTCCATTCTAGACCCAGCTTCGGCATTTGGGAGGTGCCAATTTTTATGACCAGGCTGGCTCAGCTGGACAGTTGTTTATGGTGTTCATAGCCTGGTATGGATTTACTTCTACCAGCCTGGAGTTGTATCTTCCAGAAATCAGGGTGGGGAGGGAGTTTTGGCAAGATATAGGGGACATCCTCCTGCCCCCCCAAAACAACTCTGTTCCTATTCCCAGGGTGAATCTTTATCATTGGCGATCTCCATGTGATCTCATCTTAGGCTGCTATTCATTGGTCATGCTGCTTTCCATTTGGATGCTTCAGAGACAACTTAGTTTGGGTGGGCGGTCATAGGGAAAGGGTCTTGTATGTTTTATGTGTTTTGCACTTTTTGGTTAAGTCTGGAAGTGAAAATAGTTTTCCTTCTGTGTAGGAGTTGGAAGTGTGGTGGAACTGTGGGGCTAACTACTGGAGTCTCCATTGTCACTTGCCCCGAGAGTCCATGTTCCTATTTCAGCCTGCAATCTGTAGTGAGTGGCAGGCTCTGGAGCTCACCCTAGGCCTTGGGCTTATGGTTATGAAGAAGCATTTTCTCAGATTTTTTCTGCTCTGGTGCCACAACCTAGATTTGGGCTCTGTCCTATACTTCTGTTTTTAGGTTCTTCTTGGGGAATATGATTTTCGGGTGTGTGACTTTTGTTATGCTGCATTTGATTAATTGTGAAGCTGTGATTCTTTGCCTGTCTAAACTACTTGATGGTCCTAGTAAAGAACAGCCAATATGGAGGCAGAAGCGAGGATAGGCGGGGCCAGCAGGCAGAGTATAAATGGAGAAACGAGAAGGCAAACGAGGAGCAGAAGGACATCAGGGGTCAGCCACTCAGCTACACAGCAAGCCATGGAATAAAAAGTATGGAAGGTTATACAGAAATAGAGAAACATAAAAAGCCCAGAGGCAAAAGGTAGTCGGAATAATTTAAGAAAAGGCTGGGCATTTATATTTAAGAATAAATCTTCGTGTGTGAGATTTATTTGGGAGCTGGGTGGCGGGACCCCTAAAAAACCAAAAGAGTAAAAGATCACACAACATGTTCTTTCTCTTCTTTTTCTGGCAACTCTTGCATTACATTGACAGTCTTTTAGTTATTTTTTGGGAGTAACTTATTAGGCATGCTGAAAATTGTTTACTTAAATGTGTTTGCAAAGAGGAGCAAAGTCTGCTTAACTGTAAGAGTATAGTGGCATTTGTGTGAAACCTGCAATAAATAAGTTCAAAGGGGTGATTTGAAGGACCATTTATTTTATAGATAGTGTGCTAGACCAGGGCTGCAGCAGTCCTGGCTTTTGCTTCTGGTTTATTTGCATTGTATTTGTGCCCTTAGCAAACTCAGAGGTATCTAGATTTTGGTTCCAGGGAATAGTGGGGGAATATGAGTTTTTATCTGTCAAGGACAGCGGAACACACAGGGACCGGATGAGAAGGTTCTCAACTGTTTGCAAGGAGATTGCTCTGTGGCTCAGCAAAAACTGATTTGTCCTTTTGCCCCAGAGCTGAGCTGTCCTGAATCCTAGGCCCAGTCAGGAGCTCATCCTTCTCATCTTACCACCAGCAGCAGGCTGGGTTGGAAAAGGGTGGTGACCTAGCTGGAGGGTTAGGTCTACTAACCAGGAATGTTGCTCTCTGTCCTTTTTTCGGCCCCCCAACTCCTGTTCTCCTATGCTCACCAGAGTCCTACAGACTGCTACTTTGAAAAACACGCCGTAGAATAAGAATTCCTATG